CTTCCGGTAAGGCGCCTTCCTTCTCTCATGCCACGTCACCAAAATAACGTTCCCCTCAGGCCAGTCCCCAAATTCCTCTGCGTCAAGGGCATCCTCTTCTTCTCCTTCTGGCAGGCTCTCTTCATCTCGATCCTCGTGTCCACGGGTGTCATCACGCACATCGGGCCGTACACGCGCGACGAGGACCAGGACAAGATCGCCCTCGCGCTCACCGACACGCTCATCTGCATCGAGATGCCCTTATTCGCCTTTGCGCACGCCTACGCCTTCGCGTACACGGACTTCATCGACCCCACGACGACGTACGTCGCGCGCATGCCGATGTACTACGCCTTGCGGGACGCGTTTGGGCTGCGGGACGTCGTCGCGGACAGCCGCGCGACGCTGCGCGGCGAGGGGATGGACTACCGCGCGTTCGAGCCGAGCGAGGGGTACATGCACCAGGGCGAGGGGCGCGAGCGGCGCATCCGCGCGGGGCTGCGGTACGCGGACGGCGGGAAGCGGAAGTACTGGCTCCCGCAGCCCGCGGTGCGCACGCACGTCGGCGGGGGTGGAGGGGCGGGCGGGCGCGTGCGCGGGGCGGTGGACGGCGCGCTGGGGCGCGGGGGGCTGGAGGACGTGCACGCGCCGCTGATGGCGAGCCAGGAGGCGGGTGTGGTGCACCTCGCGCCGGACCTCGCGGCGGCAGCGTCCGCACGCACGGAGCAGGAGCCGAACCTCTGGGACCTCGAGGGCGACGGCTTCGGGGACGACTACGACCTGCCGTTTGGGGATCCCGACGAGCTGGGCGACGAGGAGCTGTTCGAGCATAGCCGGCAGTTCATGTTCGGGGACTACAACTACCCGACGATCGACGTGAGCTCGGAGGATGCGCGGGCGCGGACGTGGGACGAGGAGGAACGGGTGTTGAGGAATCAGAGCAGCGCGTGGTACGTGCGGCACCCGGAGCCGCCGCCCGAGGCACGCGAGCGCCCGCGCTGGGAGGGATACGGCGCCGTCGGGCGCACCGTCTCCCGCCCTCCCCCACCGCCGCCCCCACGCGACGGGCTGCTCATCGACCACAACGAGGGCCCGGCGCCGCCCGACGGCGCGGACATGCGCCTGAAGTGGACGCGCGCGCACCCGTCGTCTGCCGCGCTGCCGCCGCCGCACTCGCGCACGAACTCGAACGCGTCGCAGGCGCGCCGTGCGGCGTTGCCGGGGAGCCCCGGAGCGGGGAGCAGCCCGCGCACGCCGCCGTCGTCGTCGCGCCGGAACTCGGCGCAGCCCACGCCCACGCCGCTCCCGCCGGACGCGGTGGACCTCGTCGTGGAGGACCCCGCGGCGGCGGAGGAGAGCCGCGCGCAGGAGCGGCGGCGGGGCGAGCCGACGCCGGCGGTGGGCGGGTCGGCGCTGAGGAAGGTGTATCGGACGGAGGAGGCGGGGGAGGTGGTGGAGACGCTGATGACGATTGGGAGTGACTCGGAGGAGGATGGGGAGGGGGATGGGGATGGGGAGGAGGAGGAGGAGGAGGAAGATCCCATTGAGCACGATGCGCGGGAGGCGGATGTTGTTGTGGCGCGTACGGCGACGCCGCCGGCGCATGCGCACGCGTTTACGCCGAGCGACTCGGAGGATAATCCGTGGGCGTAAAGGCCTCGCTTCGTCCTCACCTTCGACTCACATCTTCATCGTCTTCACTCGCACCCTCACACACACACACACGTTCACGAGTTCAAGACACGACGCACGCACATCTATCCTATCCTACTCTATCACCATATTCCATTCGCCCCATGTATTCATCCCATCCGCGCAAATTGCAATCCATCATTCTCAATTTCTCAATCTACATGTTATCTTTATCCTGTTGGAGAGGCTAACCATTAGACTATTCGCGCGAATAGTCTAATGGTTAGCCTCTCCAACATATCCACCATACTCCTCATTGCTTCATATCCTCATTGCTTCATAATCGTGATCCCTTGGCTGCCCTGCTTTCCTCGACTAAGCGGTGTGTCCGGCCTGCGGCGGCGGAGGTGCTAATATCTCGCCTCGCCGTCCGGCGTCCGACCAAGTGCAGACCCCCGGCGCTCGAAGATCAGCCTCCCTCCGTGGGTGTAACATACTCAGTGTCTCGCGCAGACGCTGAGCGTGGCCGCGATGAATTGCTGTCGGCTGTCGGCGCTGTACAGAAAGAACGAAGAATGTCGGGAGTTGCGTTGCGTTGTATTGGACGCGAGCTCCGGCCCAGAACTCGGAATTCGCGCTCAGACACGGACTCGCACTCGCACCGGACACGGACTCGGATTCGGCGGCTTAGACTTAGCTTCGCGCCGCGCCGCGTCGTCCTGCTCCCGCACCCCTCCCCTCGTTGTCTGAATCGTTGGCGCGCTCGCTGAATTCTACTTACTGTATGCATCCAACCCCCCGCGACCACTAAAGAGGCCCCGATTCTCTCGCTATCTCTCTCTGGAGTCGGATTCAGGGGCCCAGACTTGGCTTAGCCTTGGCTTCGCGCGTCGTCGTCGTCGTGCTCCCGGACCCGCACCCCTCCCCTCGTCGTCGTTGGCGCGCTCGCTGAATTCTACTTATGTATCCAATCTCCCGCGGCTACTGGAAGATCGAGCGGGCGACCCCGGTTCTCTCTCTCCGGACTCGGATTCGGGGGCCCTAGCTTCGCGCCACGCCGCGCCGCGTCGTCCTGCTCCCAAACCCCTCCCACATTGTCGTTCGCGCGCTCGCCTTATCCATCCAATCTCCCGCGGCTATTGGAAGATCGAGCGGACGGCTCTCTCTGTTCAGCTCGGAGGAGTCGGAGGGTGTCAGGGCTGGGTGTGCCTGCTGCAAAGTGCAAAGTGCAAAGTGCAAAGCTCGTCCGCGCGGGCTTGGTCGTGCGTCCGAGTCCTTCAGCCCAATCCGTCCAAGTTTCGCATGATCTTGAGAGAGCCGGAGCCAGAGTCGGAGGCGGAGCGCGGGGCGTTGTCCTCTCCCTGTCCTCTGTCCTCTCTGTCCTCCGCCCTCCGCCCTGCATCCTGCCTCGCCGCATCCGCTTCTCAAGACCGACCCCGCGTCCTCCGCTCTGAATCCCCGCCCATCGCGCTTTGCGCATTCCCCCCCCCCGTGCCGCCCGCTACTCATAGGCATACCGATGCCCTTGCCGACGCCCTCGTCCCCGCCCTCCGCCTATCTTACCCTATAGTATCCCAACGTCGTCTTCGGGCGACGAATCGAATCGAATCGAATCGAATCGAATCCGAGTCATCGAGCGCGTCATGCACGCTCTGCGTTTGACGGGCGGCGCCGCTGTTCACACTCACGCTTCCTTTGACGAGCGGGCGGCGGGCGGGGCGCGCACCGACGTCGGTGTCGGTGTCGACTTGGGCGCGCACTATCTGTCAGGGAGGCTAGTGTAAATGCGCCCACCCACGCGTTGGGTGTACACCAACCATACCGGTACCGAGATTCAAGATTGATTTATTGATTGGTTGGGTGAGCGCGAGCCCGGGGCCCCCGGAGGTCTGGGTGCTCAGCGGGAGGCTGGACACGGGACAGGAGTCACAGGGAAGAGGGAAGAGGGATGCGGGATTCGGCGTCGACGGTTAACCCGCTCGTCAGCGTATTCGAGATACCTCGCTAATCTATTGTATCAGAGACGATCCCGATCCCGTCGAGTCGCAATTCCGAATTTCGAAGTTCTCGTGTTATATAGCGTCTATAGTGACATACAATTCTACTACAATGTACCCGCGATTTCGGTTTCCTAAATCCTCAATCCTCAATCCTATTTCTTTATGTAATTCCTTCTCCACACTCCCTTCCCATCAGCCCGTCAGTTGGGTGAGTGAGGAAGGAAGGAAGGAAGGAAGGTTAGAGGTGCGCGAGGACGGCGTCGGCGCCGGAGACGGTTACGCCTGGGGCGGGCTCGACCTTGCAGGAGGAGTGGTTAGTAGGCGATATACGATAAGGGGGGAGGAGGGGGGAGTGAGGATGAGGGACTCAGGGAGGGAGGAGCGGTAGAGTGCGCACGTGGGGACAGGCGGAAGAGACGCCGCACGCAGAGATTCCCCGCACCCGCCCGGAAGGCGTGCGCTCGAGGCAGAACTCGAAAGGAAGGTACACACCTCAACGTACTTGACGACCAAATCGTCGATGATCATGGCGTAGCGGTTCGTGCGGAGGCCGAGGCCGCGGGCGGTGAGGTCGAGGTCGAGGCCGAGGGACGCGGACCAGGCGGCGGCGGGGTCGGAGAGGGCGAGGATTTTGTCCTTGCACCCTTCGAAGCGGGCCCAGCCGCTCATGACGAAGAGGTCGTTGGCGGCGAGGACGGCGAGGACGTCGACGCCCTTGGCGAGGAACTCGGCGTGCTTGGCGAGGTAGGGCGGGAGGTGGTTCGTGTGGCAGGTTGGCTGTTTTGTTATTACTATTAGATGAAGATGAGGGGAGGGAGGGGGGACGCACGGTGAACGCGCCGGGGACGGCGAAGAGGACGACTTTCTTGCCCTTCCACGAGTCTGTGCTCAGCTTGCTCGCTGTGCATATGTCAGTAAATCGTGATCAGGGAAGGGACGGATGGATAGTACGCACGGACACCGCACGCGAGCTGCAACCAGCGTCAGTCAAGAGGGCGGATGGCGGGATGGGACGCACGTTATCCTCGAGCTCGGGTGCCCAGGGGATGTACCCAAACTCGCCCTTGGGGAGCGTGTCGCCGACTTTGATCGTTGGGGCCATTGGAAATGTTGCGGGGCGTTCACGAAGGTTGCAAGGAGGAGATATCGGTGGGAATCGCGGTACTTATCGATGAGAGGTTAAAGACGCGCCGGTGTTCGGGTAATCGGGTAGCCGTAAGCACTCGAGTGGTCAGCAGAGGCAGTGCCGCACGTGAGCGGGTGTTGAGAATTCAAGTTCAAGCTTGAGCGTATGGCGGTCATTTCGCGAGCACCGACACGGGGCATTTTTTTTTTTGGGAGAGGGAGGAGGGGGGGGGGGGAAGAAAAAACCTGACTACAAACATCAAATGACCCAGCCTGGAATCGAACCAGGGACCTCTGCTGCAAGCAATATACATTCCCAAATTAGCACAGAGGAGCACCATGCAACTGAGGCATACTATACACAGAAATACTTGGCAACTTGGCTCAATGTAGCTGGCACTGAAATAGGCACTCTAGCTCAATCCCTTCAGATCAAGTAATCTGGCTGTATGCAGTTTGCAATGATTGAATGAAAATGGCAATAACGAAAGGGACATGGGTGGTGAAAATACAAGTTCAAGTTGAGTTGAGCCCAGCTGCGGTGGTGATTTTGTGAGCTCTGGGGCCGGAGCAATTTTTTGGGGAGAGAGGGGAGGAAAAAATAAAAACAAGAACATCTCAAAGAGTTATGACCCAGCCTGGAATTGAACCAGGGACCTCTGCAGATTCCTTTTTCAAACTCCAAATTGTATGCAGAGGAGCACCATGCTACTGGGTCTTGTTAAGGCTCTTCAGACCAAGCAATGTAACTGTATGCAGTTTGCACCAAAAATTACAAAAAAAAAGCCCCAACCCGGGATCTCTCCATAAGCACTCAACTTGGAGAATATGTACTGGATAATGATCATGAAGATGCTTCCGGGGCTTTTTTTTTGGGAGGGGAGGAAACAATAAAAATGAATGAGGTCGAAGAGTTATGGCCCAGCCTGGAATCGAACCAGGGCTCTCTGCATACACCTGTATGCACATGTCAAATTAGGCACAGAGGCACCATGCTACTGGGTCTTGTTGAGCCTCTTCAGATCAAGCAATTTGGCTGCATGCAGGGTGCAATGATTGAATGAAGATAACAGGTGTTGGAAATTCAAGTTCAAGTTAAACCCAGCTGCAGGTGTCATTTTGCGCAGGCTTTTTTTAAGGGGGGCGAAAAATTGTTGAAAATGACTTTCAAAAGAAGGATGACCCAGCCTGGAATTGAACCAGGAGCCTCTGCAAATAGACCTACAAGAATCATTACTAGGCACAGAGGAGCACCATACTACTGGGTCTTGCTGAACCCTATCAGATTGAGCAATTTGGTTGTACAGTATTACATGCCCGAATGGGACGACCAAATTTGTTTTTCTCTTTCACACACATCTGAAATGATTTGGACAAAAACTGAACCACCTAAAACCTTCTTTGAGGTCTAAAGTAAATGCCTACCAAGTATGAGGTGAATTGACCAAGAAGTCGTGGAGATCGAGACTTATCTGTCTCAAATGTCCTTATCAATCAAGATATGTGCCAATGGGATGCACAGCCACCACACCCTAAATCTTCGCCATTTTCACTTTGACTCATGACATTCAACCTCGGAATGTTCTTCAATTGAGTGCTGTAATGCTTGTTAGAGTTCGAGGAGTGACCGGGTCAACTCCGAGGTGGCCGAGATGCCGATCCGTCAGGTGGCTGGTCGCATTATTACTTTGTCGATGTTTTTCACCTTGTACAGTACCACCACCGTCGTACTCTATCCACTTCCAAGTACCCTATCCACTGGCTTATAGCCCCCATAACCTTTAACAGGTTATGGGCCCCGCGCTCTAACTGCATCTGCCGAAACCATGACCTCGAAGCTTGTTTGCTCCAACCCCTATCTTTTCCCCCGGAAACTGGCCGACATTTCGAGGCTACAAGATGACACAATTCAAGCTCTGGTCGCTTAGTTTGTCATTCAATATCGACCTTCGATGTCCCACTGGACTCTGCGGCTTCAATCACCTTGTCGGGACAATTACTGGCGACAAGCTTAGATTGACTGAAAACCACAAATACCTCTCAGTCAGAATGAATTTCTTGCTTACACCACGGTACACCCAGCAAGCTATCGATAACGTCCTTCCTGTGAACTTGGACATACCCTGAACGTCTTTCTTGACCAGATGCCGCCACATCAATTTTCAGCATGCCAGTCACGGTGAAAATCAACTCGCTGATGAATTCAAGATGAATCTGATGTCCCTCCGAACACTGTATTTCAACTCGGCGGTTCTGGATCGATCTATGTAATCTCCTGACGGGCAAGATCGTCGTTGACTGCTTCAATGCCTACATGCGTCCACATACGTGACTCGGATGGCATCTGACTTGCGTTGAAATAGCGCCAAGTCCCGGAATGATGCAAATTTCATTCTCTACCGCTTTCTCGCCATCTGCAGCCTCTTCCAACTGGCTCGTCATCCACTAACCCGAGCCGACTGCTCACTCTCACTCTGGCAGCAACATGCAACCCGGCCATCATCACTCCCCAAGCATCGGTCAAAAGGGGGGGGACGACACTCAGTGACCGTACTGAGTCGCTCGCGACGAAGCAAACTTCACTCAGTCGTTCAATTGGCATCAAGATCCCCAGTTCACTATTGGACCTGGCCGTCCACTTCCGCACATCCGAATGTTGACAAGTTCACACAAGTTGAAGGCTTCTCAGATTTCAACCATCTCAGTCACGGAGGCGCCGTCGAATTCGCCTTGTTTGATCTTCACTACACTTGTCGTCCTCGACCTCGACCTGCTTCATATCTTTAGATTTCGTGACAACACCTTGAAACACTCTTTTCCCATTACTTTCAGCCGCATCGTTGAAGCTACGCTAGGTCTTCTTCTAATATTCAATCTCCTCTGGATTTGACCACGCTATAATTGCAAACTACGAGAGTACTTCACTGGCCCTGGTCTGAACGACGTCTCATGCCATTGGTATCCACTTGTTCGACCACGACCTCGTTTAATGCCGAATCGGCCCTTAGCATGACTACGCTAAGTTTCCGGTTCAAAATCATTGCTCTTGATCTACTAACAGTGGTTTTAATCATCATAAATCACGGATGCGAGGGAGAGAGAGAGAAATTCTCATCCTGGCCTTTATGATGATAGAATAACTGTACATTGCAGCGTTAAACCTGAGCACAAAGCTGAGTTCCGATTCATTTATTCCAGTTTAACACTTAAAAATCCTTTCTGAGCTCAGAACTTGAATTGTTGGATAATGAAATCCAGAGGGACGACATCAAGAGAGCGTATCACCCAGAGACGACCCACAAGCAAACTTCGGTTATCACTACAAAGCTGAGTTTCTACTGAATACTCCACTATTTGAATATTTAAAATTTGTTTCACGGTTGAGAACCATGTTCCATGGCCAGTCATCGAATCTGGAGATGAAGTTGATGATTCCGCGACAACAGAAACACCTTAAAGCCTCGACGCAATACTACGCTGTCCTTCGCACCTCACCGGCGACTCGACTAAATTCGCTCCTCGGAATGACGATTTCTACCGCTCGCGACTAGGCATTCAACAGGAAGTTGATGTCGGAGGAATCCCACCGAACTCTGAGTGTTATTTGCATTCCTGTCTCTGTATGCTGATACATTGTCCGATACATTCACTACCAGAGACGTAGTCAGCAACATAATTGCCATTTCGCAACTAGCCTTCGAGCTTAACTACACGAACACTTCCCAATGATTTTCTCGACTTCTCAACATTCGAATGATACATATGAAGTCAATCTGCACAAATCAAAGCTGAGTTATCAACTTGTACTTCAAGCTCAATAATCTTGCTGTTATTTCCAGAATTCATAGGCGCTCACTGGGACCTCGGATGAAGGGGGGGTGAACATGAAGCAAACCAGCATCCGATGTTCCCAGATTAGCTTCTATATCTCGCGGCTCACACAGAGCTAAGTATTCGTCTTGAACTACTGCTGAAATGCCCTTACTCAAGTTCCACTCTATTAATTTTAGTCCAGCTTGGTATAGCCGACCGAGCAAAACACTGCCGCCAAATATTTTCTGCTTCCATTTTGGATCCACAAAAATACGGATCCTGACAATAAAATTGTCCCAAGGTTGGGCGCATTTGCGCTGGAATAATGTTCCAAATTTGCCAGAGAGCATACACTCCAAGCATAATCCGCCTTTGAGCGTAACTTCGCCTCCGAGCGTAATCCGCCTTCGAGCATAATCCGCCGTCGAGCGTAACCATGCCGCCGAGCATAACCTTTGCCATCGAGCATAACACTTTGCCATCGAGCGTAACACTTTGCCATCGAGCGTAACCTTTGCCACCGAGCGTATCCCTATCATCGAGCGTACCTCTGCTCATCTGCCGAGCATTTGTTTTCTAGCATATATCTGTGCTAACCGACTCACTGTCTTCGAACATACCTTCATTCTAACTTATCCACTGATCTGGTTGGACACATACAGTGTTCACATCGAGTTCTCGATACGTGCTTTCAAACTTCACCTATCAGCTACGTCCAAATTTTATTTTAGAATGAATACAACTAATTCAAAACTCGACAGGTTCATTCATGAATTTGATGTGCTCTTCTGTGTTCACTATAGCCTTCCTCTCTCGGCTTTCACCTCTCGCTGGCTGCCGCGCAAGCTGAACAGCCCAACATGATCATAATCTGCTTTCGAGCATAACTTATCTCCGCTTTCGAGCATAATTCTGTCACAGGACATCCAATTTGACGATGAGCACATTCTACTTATCCAATCTCCTCTCGAGTCAAAATAACTACTAATTCTCAAACTCAGGCGAACCATTTCATCCTCTCGAAACTTCTGCTTAGCAAAAATCTGAACCACAATTCCAATCAGCGAATGTAATGGCTCCAGGACATTGGTGCGCTGAGGTCGCACTCAGTAGCGTGGGCTTATGGTACTGTGGGTACTGAGGAGTACTCACTTTACCTCCCAAGTTCCGCAAGAGCCTAAAGGCCACAGTGCGGTTACGCCTGAAAAGGGAACTTGGGTTTTCCCTGATGTCTTTCCTCATCCCGACTAGGAGCTCGGCACATCTGCTCCCTATCCCTATTTTCCATTTTATTTTCCCTATCATCCACTCGCACTTGACGCCGGTCAAGGGGGGGTGTTAGAGTTCGAGGAGTGACCGGGTCAACTCCGAGGTGGCCGAGATGCCGATCCGTCAGGTGGCTGGTCGCATTATTACTTTGTCGATGTTTTTCACCTTGTACAGTACCACCACCGTCGTACTCTATCCACTTCCAAGTACCCTATCCACTGGCTTATAGCCCCCATAACCTTTAACATGCTTATTGAAAATTCTGTAAAT